CTCTCTCTCTCTCTCTCTCTCTCTCTCTCTCTCTCTCTCTCTCTCTCTCTCTCTCTCTCTCTCTCTCTCTCTTTACATTGAAAATCGTGTTACACATTAGGTTTATGGGCGTTAGTACATGCTGCAGCTTGGGTGACCTTAGGTGAATGCGAATGGGTACCTCCTTCTGTATTAAAACGCAGTATAGACATCAATTTTATTGGCCTTGCTCGATTAACTCAGGTAATTTTAATGCAGATATATAAGCACATAATCTATGAAATGAGCACACAAAGGTACCAATGATATTTTATTCAAAGGTTTTCCTACCACTCGTCAGAAGGTCTAAAGGTCGTGTTGTATTAGTTAGCAGCCTGTTAGCTCGTATACCCAGCCCAGTTCGTGGGATTTATTGTGCAGTCAAGGTAAATGAATTTTCTAAATTGAGTGAGACTTTTCGTGCATCGATAAGATTCTTTGGTTAGACGAGTTGAAAGACACAATTTACTTAACAGGCTGCAGTCGACGCTTGGGGAACCTGTCTTAGAATGGAGATGAGAAGGTGGGGCGTAGATGTGGTAATTATCGAAACCGGTGAATACGTATCTGGAAATGCATGGTTAAAAGATAATAGCGCATTACTTGAACAAGCAAGAGATATGTGGACTCAGTTAGATCCTCAGACTCGTAAAGAATATGGTCAAGAATTATTTCAGAAAGAAATGTTGGCTCTCGAAAAATATACGCAAGGTCCAGAAGCAGATTTGACGCCGGTAACTAGAGCTTTAACAGATGGTATAATAAAAACTTTTCCAATGAGAAGGTACACACCAGTTTCCCGTAAAGAGAGGATACAGGCTTTGTGTAGCGATTATCTCCCAAAACCAGTTTACGATATATTATACACAAATTAATGGAGAACAAGTTTGACAATTGAATTATTAGCGTTTAACATTATGTGAAACGACCAATAAAAATATAATTTATGTAATATCAACAAATAACGAGATAATTATTCTGGTGTGACTTTTAGATGAATTTTTATGAAGAAAGAAATTTTCCTTCAAAAACAATTACTATCTAAATAAATAGTACACAATATTGAAATTTGTATTAAAACATCTCGAAACACATTTACCCTCTCCTCTCCATCTTTACGTATTCCTTGTTTGCCCATTCACCAGTTCAGGCATGTGCGTACGTGTGTACTGCATACGTACATACATATACATATATATTATCCTTAAAAAAATGTATTGTACATATATAGATACTATGTACATACATACATAACGTTGTAGAAGAATTTTCTTTGCTTTCGCTGCTAGTGTAGTGACATGACCGTAATCTACGGCTCGTGATAGAGAGGAATTATGTACGTGGTGATTGGTTGAAGCGAAATAACGACGATGTTTTGTATGTACACTTGAATCAATGAATTGTAACTTGTAACAATGATACGAATTAACTGGATGATAGATGTTGTCAAGCTCAAGGACAGAAAAAGGCGATTATGTATCTCGATTGTTCCGGGAATAGATGGGGTGGATGGATGAATGATTGATTGTTTTAACTCGCAACGCAGTTCTAATGAAGTCATAGAGTAGATAAGTATGTACATATTCGGAGATACATGGTGAAAAAGGAAAAAATTACATAATATAATTTTGTCCTCGCGCGAACAGGACATCGCATATAGGTTATACACTGACCTGATTTAAATAACGTGTTTGAAATTCATTTAAATGTTTCGTAAAATTAACACTGTCAAAACGATCTTCGGTGGCGCGCATTCGTTTGCGAATGCATCCGTAGCGTCAAACACATCGTCCAGAGTAAGTGTGTCTTACTTTTTATTTGTTCAATTTCATACTGTATTGATATATTGTACATGTTCATGTACAATTACAAATGTACCATTACAATTTATACGATAGTAATTATGTATGTATGTATGCTATATACATATATGCATACAAGTGTGTACTTTGGATGAGCTCTATATATTTTTATTACAGGTGCAACAATTCAAGAAATTGTTAAATAAAAGCGATTACAATGATAGACTTACAGATTCTTTTGGACGGCGTCATACCTATTTACGCATTTCTATCACCGAACGTTGTAATCTACGATGTAAGCTTTCTTATGGCTGCCAAAATTTCCAACTTTGAATAGAGTAAATATAGAAGGTATTATGTTTTACATAGGTTTGTACTGCATGCCAGCAGAAGGTGTTACATTGACACAGAACAATGGTATTTTGAGGACAGAGGAAATCATTAAAATAGCAAGTTTATTTGTAGAAGAAGGTGTGCACAAAGTACGTCTGACGGGTGGCGAACCAACAGTTAGAAAGGATATCGTCGATATTATCGGTAAACAATATGATCTTTTTTGACATTGAATCTTTGAACATTAAATTATTTAATATATCGAAAACAATTCCAATTATTGTAGCTGGGTTGAAAGAATTGTCTGGTTTGAAACAAATTGCTATTACTACTAATGGTTTAACATTAACGCGTCAATTGCCATCGCTTCAAAGAGCAGGGCTAGATGCGATAAATATTTCTCTGGACACATTAAGAGAAGATCGTTTCGAACAATTTACTCGTAGAAAAGGTTGGTCTAGAGTCGTAGCTGCAATAGATTTGGCTATTCAATTGGGCTACAATCCTGTCAAGGTGAGAAAATAGTAGAACTTTTTGAAAAACAAGACGTATCTCAGTCGAATGATGATAAATAATTTCAATCCATATTCTTTTTTTAGGTGAACTGTGTGGTAATGAATGGTTTCAATACCGACGAATTGGTCGATTTCGTTAACTTGACTAAGGATCGTCCGATCGACGTACGCTTCATCGAATACATGCCTTTCCAAGGGAACAAATGGAACGAAAATAAGATGGTATCTTTTGATTCGATGAAGAAAATGATAAGGAATGTGTATCCTGACTTACAGCGTCGTTCAAACGAGTACAATGATACGTCCAAAGTGCGTAGCAGTTTATTGCGATCTTATTAAAAAAAAATTTGCCAATTTTAATCCGTGTGTAACTGAGAAAAGTGCTGTTTCTTTCAAACAGGCATATCACATTCCTGGTTTCACAGGACAGGTCGGATTTATTACATCAATGAGCGAACACTTTTGCAATTCGTGCAATCGATTGAGAATAACGGCGGATGGAAATTTGAAGGTCTGTCTGTTCGAAGGAAAGGGGGAAGTATCTCTACGCGACGCTTTGCGGAGTGGTGCGTCCGACGAGAGTTTGAAGGAGATAATCGGTGTCGCGGTACGACGTAAAAAGAAGCAACACGCTGGTACGTTTAATTATTGATCTTTGCTAATGGATCGTCAAAGATTATCTCATCTGTAACATTGAAAAAATAATATGCAAAGCGATAACGTTTGCATGATCCTATCCGTTAATGTATATGTTTCAGGAATGTTCAATCTATCCAAGATGGAAAACAGGCCGATGATACTTATCGGGGGTTAATCAATCTCATTGTTATTTTGGAAATTTTACACACAGGTTCAAACGGTTTCTTTGTTGTCCTCGGGAGTTCGCGTATAAACGTTATCGCTCTATTCTATATATGTAATATGTGATCGATGATTATTCATTTATCTTGCGTTCCAGTAATCGGTAGTAGGTGGAAACTTTTGCAAACTTTCATATTCTAAACACGATTTTCAGAAATAGTAAGATCCTTGTTACAAACTGAATAAAACTATTGTTTCTTTAGCGTATCTTGCGTGACTACAAATTGACACCTGTTGGTTACCGGAACGCAAAACGGGAAAAGCTCGAATACGTTGGACAGTGTTTTTATCTTACTGTCGACGAATTTCAACCGTAACATCGATTGTTTGTACTTGCAGTGAAAATGAATTTCTTAGCAAGAAAAAGTTGTAAAGACACACCACGAGCCAACAAATTTTCAAATACAAGAAGAAGAATGTTTTCTTCGTTGTCGCATGTGAATAAAGATGGCAAAGCGAGAATGGTGGATGTCGGTTCGAAGATTGAAAGCAAACGCGTCGCGATAGCGAGAGGAGTCGTACAGGTTGATACAGAGATAAGAAAATTAATAGTGGAGAATAACGGTAAGAAAGGAGACGTGTTGTCCGTGGCACAGTTGGCCGGTATCATGGGAGCGAAACGTACTCCTGATTTGATACCGCTTTGCCATCCGGTCTCGTTATCCTATGCAAACGTGTTTCTACGTTTAAACGAGGAATCGAATCGAATAGAAATCACAGCCGAGGTTCGATGTACCGGCAAGACTGGCGTAGAAATGGAAGCTTTAACGGCCGTAAGTATCGCGGCGTTAACTGTCTACGATATGTGCAAGTTTGCGGCCTCTCCGACCGCGCTCAAGATAACTGATATAGAGCTAATTTCAAAAACTGGTGGTACAAAGGGTGACTTCTTTAGAAACTAATTATCTGTTTGTTTCATCTTCGATGTCAATAGAATAGACACTATAATATATACAATACAATGTACTAAGGTACAAAGTACAATATATAAGTACGTATACATATTCCGTCCACGAAAAGATGGTATAGTTTTTAATAGTGAGGGTGGGGGTGGGGGTGGGGGATCTGCGAGACTAACCCCTTTTTTTAAACGCACATGTTATTGTATGTACAGTCGTTTTGTAATCGCATCCAATAAATCTGAATTTATTAAACTTCTATTCAAACCTATTATTATAGACACCCATTATTATTGAATTCACCTCTATTTAAATCCAATTACAACCATCTAAATTTCTATTAAAACAAAATTTGCTACAATACAATAAGGTTCTTGTCCCGAAGGGTTCAGACTCTTCGACTCTGTTTACATGAAATCTTCTCCTGCATTCCTCAATTAGTCTCGCCAACTAAATTCCTCTCATCGAGGAATTTCATGGGAATTCATATGCATAAACTATCAAATAAACAATTATGACCATAACGTTACATTTTATATTCGTATTTCCTTCTTATCGTCATTTGTCGAAGTATGTGTTGTCCATTGTATTGCAGAAATATGGATGCACATTTTCGTATTGAAAATCTGTCATTTACACTAATGGGTCCTATTCCTGCACAGGAATATTTCGATCCTATTCCCGCAGGGTCGATTTTGCTGCTGGGGCAGGATCTACTTGCGAATTGGGTGCACAGTAAAATGATAGGAATGGTGTGCAGGAATAGGTCCCATCACTATAGTGTGTAGTGTACAAGTGTGTACATACATAGTATGTATATATGCATTTACATGGATATGCGCATAGTGTATTCATACATGGTGCCGACATATAACCTAAGTACGAAGATAACTGAAGATAATCATCAAAGTGTAACCTATCGTTAGGTTAATCTACATTAACCGTGCATGATTTTTAATACTTTTGTTCGAATGATAAACAAAATTTACAATGAAGACACAAAATTGGAGAGAATTAGAAATACCTTTAAGTGATCCCATATTGAAAACCATTGAAGAACTGAAATATCCATATATGACACCAGTGCAGGTAAAATTTATACAAGAAAAACTATATCTTTAGGTAGTATTACGTACCAGAATTCTAATATTAATATTAAAGTAACGTAATAAAATGTGAAATACTACTTATATTTTTGGTTGAATTGTACACAGGCTGCTTCCATACCGCTATTATTAAAGGGTAAAGATGTTGCAGCGGAAGCAGTAACAGGTAGTGGAAAGACGATTGCTTTCATAGTACCTGTATTAGAAATTTTACAGGTATCTACATTATTTTCACGCATAATAATTATTTTATGAATATTGTTTGTTCAATGTATAGAGAGGATTGTAATTAAATAATTATTTTCCATGGAAAACAGAAACAAAAAGTGACATGGAAATCAACAGAAGTTGGAGCAATAATAATTAGTCCAACAAGAGAACTAGCAATACAAATATATGATGTATTACAAAAATTTTTAAATAACCTTCCACAATTAAAACAAATATTACTTGTCGGTGGCATAACGATCGCAGAAGATGTGGCAAGACTTAAAACTGGGGCTAACATTATAATAGCAACACCCGGTAGATTAGAAGATATAATATCAAATTGTAAAATTATCAATTTGGCTGCACGTCTAAGATCATTGGTAAGTGACATAAAAATCAGAAACTTGCAATCTTTTCATGAAAATCTGATTATCTTATTTGCAGGAAATATTAATCTTAGATGAAGCAGATAGATTATTGGATTTAGGCTTTTCTGCGACGCTAGATACAATATTAAGCTACTTGCCTCGTCTCAGAAGAACGGGTTTATTCTCTGCAACGCAAACAAAGGAACTGCAGCAGCTAATTAGAGCAGGATTGAGAAATCCAGCTTTAGTATCTGTTAAAGAAAAACCAAATATTTCAACACCTTCGAATTTAGTAAATAATTATGCCATTGTGAATGTAGAGTACAAATTTTCTGCAATGATAGACTTTATACAACAAAAGGGAACTAAGTTAAAGTACATGATCTTTTTATCTACTTGTGCTTGCGTAGACTATTTCAGTCGCATTGTTGAAGAGTAAGTTATGTTGTAATATATGTTACTTACTCGTTTGTCCTGAATGATTAAGAATATAACATTACAGGCAAATAGTATCTGTTTGAAAGTAGCAAATGTAATAATAACTAAAAAATTGTATATTTCTCATATTTTCCAAACAAGCAATGCATGTTTCGGACTTTTTCTCTTGCCATTAAATTTATATATATATATAAACTTACAAAAATATATTTAACAACATATTGAATTTTTAGAATGTTGCCGTCGGTTCAAATACTTGCGATACATGGTAAAATGAAAAATAAGAGATATAAAATTTTTAACGAGTTTCGACGTATCGAAAGTGGCATTTTAATTTGCACAGATGTAATGGCTCGTGGTGTAGACATTTCAGAAATCAATTGGGTATTACAGTACGATCCTCCTTGCTCGGCTAGTAGTTTTGTCCACAGGTAGAAATAACTAAAATATAATACCTGTTACAATGAATAATTTAGTTGTTTAAATTAGTTAGATTAAGGTTCATTTTGCATTCCAGATGTGGTAGAACTGCCAGAATTGGAAGTGAAGGAAGCGCACTGATATTCCTTCTGGAAACAGAAGATGCATATGTAGATTTCATTAAACGAAATCAAAAGGTGGATTTAAGGAAAATACATGTAGAACCATCTATGCTTTTACATGAAAAATGTTTAAAATGCATGAGAGATTTACAGAAGAGAGATCGATTAGTTTTCGACAAAGCTAACAGAGCGTTTGTATCGTATATACAAGCATACAATAAACACGAATGTAATTTAATATTGAGATTAAAAGATATCGATCTGGGCAAACTTGCAATGAGCTTTGGTTTGTTACGTATGCCTCGAATGCCCGAACTTAAAGGAAAAGATACAGCATCGTTTGTACAAGAAAATATTGACATTAATTCAATCGCCTATTTAAATAAACGAAAAGAACATAATCGTTTAGAAAAGTTGAAGATCTTTCAAAACAGTGGATTATGGCCCACAGTGTACAAACGTAAACGCAAACAAACTGAACCTTGGTCCGAAACCAAGAAAAGGAAATTAGAAAAGCAGGAGAATCGTAAAAAACGAAAAGAAACAAAAATAAAACAAAAAATGTCTACGAATTTAATAAAAAAACAAAAAAGAAAAGTAAGTCAGCAGGATATAGAGGAACTTGCAAAAGACATAGCGCTGATAAGAAAACTAAAGAAAAAAAAGGTATTCGTAATATATAGAATTTTTTTATCATTCTGACAATTATTTATATTCGTTTAAACATTTTTAGATTTCACAAGAAGAGTTTGACACAGCTTTTGGAATTGATTGAATAGTTTAATTACAGTGAAAGATGCGTGAAACAAAAGTCTGTTTAACTACTATCAATTTATTCGCATACGTATTCAAAAAGTTATCATCCGGTAAAATCAAGACGGTAAACAATTGTAGGAGGGTACCGGGTATAAATCTCCCGCGATACTGAACCAGGTTACCTTCAGACAATGTGTTCCATATATCCAGTATGAATCATTGTCTTGCACATGTGAAGATAAGTGTACAGGTGATAGAATATTGCATAAAGGGTGCCTCAGCTAAATGGAATAACATAAATATATTTGCTTCAGCCACTGTTGTATGAAAAGAACTTCCTCGGACGAAGTTACATTATTTGAGAAAATAATAACTTGAAATAAATGATTTTTAATTCCAGGTCAATTTACCTTTGTTATCAATTTTTAACCTTTAGATCAATTTTTAAATAAAATTCTATTTAACTGAAATACCCTGCTTTCTTCCAAAAATCCAGTCTACATGAATCTAAATTTGTTTACTATACAAAATAATAGTTGAACTTCGGGAAAGATGAATTAATAATACCGAATACTGTATTACTATATCGATAAAAAGATCTATAGCATTTCTTAATGAATCTTTGAAATTTAATTTGGAATTGTACGTATATGTACATGTGTGATACTGCCCATAATTACGCCCAATGAAAAGATTTGTCGGTCTAGATCAAAAAAAGTATCTGTTTGATATAATTTTTTCATATTTCATGAAAAAATTATTACCGATTAACAGCATAAAATAAATCCCTGTTACCTTGTTGGTATACCATCAGGCCCCTGCCCCCTCCAACTGCTCGTACCCCACCTATGTTTACTACACTACTACTACTACTACTACTATTACTACTACTACTACACTGCTGTACTGTAAACACAAGTGGTTCAGGGAGTTCCGTGGCCTTGTAAAGTAATAAATTTCAAGATACACATTATGTACCTGAACGACAAATTAGTTTAATATTCGATGCGTGGTTATTTATAGATAATGTACTAAATATCTTTACGTGTGCGAGATACTCAAATGGTATAAAAGTAAATGGTTCGAGGAAAAACACGATAACACAGTGATCTTGTATGAAACATCATTGGTGAGTCATGCGTTTATGGAAAAGTGAAGAAACCGAATAAGCGTGTGTCTCAAACTTAAAGAATCTTCACGATTACATTCATTTAGGTCAAGTCGTCAAGTTAAATAAGTGTGAGTTGAATACTTGAACAACGGATCAACTAAGTATGACTGACACAGAGACAAGTGATCATCCGAAATGGTTGTTAGAATTAGAAAATCGAAAGAGAAAGGTGAGCCTAAAATGTAAAAATTTTATCTTATCTATTATTCATATTTTATTCTATAATAGAACTTAAATATATTTCGAAAAAAAAGTTTGCAGTTAACAAGCAATGATAATTAATATCTTTAATCAGCAATCGATAATTAACGCTTAATATTTATAATCGTTAATTGATGCCTAATTTTTGTCGAGTAATTTAATGAGTCGCGATTTTCGATGATCCAGCCTTTTTAATCATAAGCATCGATCGATCAATTTATTTACAGATTTTAATTAATTAATGCCTGATTCCTTTTATGAAATTATTGATCGCCACAATGTCAAAAAATTTGCTAAATGCTGTGTGTGTGTTTGTTACATTAATAGATTAATAATCTTTTCTAGAATTTTTAATGTATTTATTTTTTATTTAGCCTCGATTGGCACACGAAGCTGGAGCAGGAGCTTCTTGCGTGATATGCAAAGATACATGTCCAGGTTTGGATTTACATTTTTGGAGAAAAACTTGTAAAAACTGTAAATGCAGCAAAGACGATCACGATGTGATCGACGAAGATTTTCCACAATTTGATCTGCTGTTTGGATCGTCCAAGAAATATAAGAAAAAATCAACGTGTAAATAAATTCGTTAATATTATAGTATAAAGTAAATAATTTTGGTAAATATAATGTGGGCTATGCTCTCTTTTAGTATTACATATACATAATCGAAAGGATCAGGTGCAAGAGGCGTTCGAATGGATTCCACCGGATACAACGAAAGAAATTGCTGCAGAATATATGAAAGCTTTACCTGTAGAGAAACTACCCATCAAAGGGTCAGCAGGTGCAGCCTTGAGAAGACAGTTATTGCAAAAGCAGTTGCCGCTTCATGATATAGATTATGAAGTTTGTGATAAATTAAGCGACCAAGAGAAGAAACATTTTGAAAAGTATTTGGAAAATATAAAGAAATACGTAGGTCAAGGGGCAGTGACAAAGGTAAATATTGATTTATTAAAAGTCCGATCGTATATATATATATGTATGTATGTATGTATATAGTTATACCAACTGATTTTTTACCTTACAGATGCTAAGTGCTCGGCCGTTCGATCTTTTGTTAATGACACCTGCTAATGCCACCGATATGCAACTCTACGATCCACAGAATAAGCACGACGTACAAACTACCATAGTTCAATTACGTACACCAAGTAGTTTCATGTCCAAAACACCGTATAAAAAAGATTTACACGCAAAGTTGAACAACTATGAATCACTGTTGCCTGTCTCAGCAACATTAAATAATTCCAGCATGATTCCGATTCGTGAGAAATGTAATAAAATTAGTAGTAATTGCGAAATAGCAAAGTCAGAACCGGTTAAGATCGGAGTATATAATAAGGGTGTTTTTATGCTTGATTCTCAAAAAGTCAATACTAATTATGACAATACTACACGCGAAGAAATTTTAACGGCCAATGATTTAGATTCCGACGTAACACTTTCACAGAACTCGCTGGAATATTTCGAAGAATCAAGTAAATTTAAGAATCTATCTATTTCTCCCTCACATTCGAAATCACTGGTTGATGATACCCATATTGCAGAATCTATATTAGCAGATGCATTACTTCCACCTAGTGTAGTACATTCCAATGACATAATTGGTAGTACATTAGATCAAAAGGATTTGATGTTTATACGAGAGAAGCTTACAAACAAGTATGGTAATCAAGGAAATCATCGAACGCAAATGCCATGTAGTGTACCCAGTTTTGCAAGAGATTTTGATGCCAATAGTTCATTGAAAAATGACGTTACGTCGCAAAGTATAAATAGTGATAACGAGAATGATGTAAAAGCTGTTATTTCTATTACAAAATATCCATCCAGTGTATCGGCGCTGTCGCAAAACAATATTCAAGATCAAAGACAGAATTCAATGGGAAAAAAGGCTATTGAAACGAAGGAAATAGAAGCAAAAAATGAAGCAGTAAGAACTATGTCACAAAGTCTTCAGTCAACTCCGCTCGATACAATGGTGTCGCACTTTGATTTAACGGAAAATACGTCTACACCGGATCCACTGTCTCAAACGTGTACACAATATTCTAACTCGAGCAACCATCAAGCAAAATTAAACAACTTTACAATACCATCTACTATCATTAATTCCGAGAAATTACGTAATCATGTATTTCCCTGTCAAAGTACTGTTTATGGTGTTAGCACAAACACAAACCAAACAGGACACCTAACAGGTACGATGGAAAATCTAACAAAGAATTCTGCTAAGCAACAGAAATGTCATGGTTGCGAAGAAATAATACGTGTCGGGGATGTGGCTGTAATTGCGGAAAAAGCTAAAAACGCTATGTGGCACCCTGGATGTTTCGTTTGCCATACATGTAACGAATTATTAGTAGATTTAGTATACTTCTATTATAAAAATAAATTATATTGTGGAAGAGATTTGGCATCGCTTATGGGGATTCCTAGATGTTTCGCCTGTGATGAGGTAGTAATCGCATTTTCTAATAAGACTTCCAATCATTTCTGGACTTTGCATGTAATTCTCATGTCAATTTTTCAGCTTATTTTCTTACGGGAGTATACTGTTGCGGAAGGGCACAACTATCACGTAAAACATTTTTGTTGTTGGGATTGCGATATTCCTTTAGCTGGGAAACAATATACCACAGAAAATGATCGTCCATTGTGTCTTCCATGCTATCAAAGGACATATGCCAAAACATGTAGCATGTGCAACAATGTAATTGCTGCGGATCAACAAGGTGTTGCTCTGAAAGATTTAAATTTTCATGCGACAGGAGTTTGCTTCTGCTGTTATATTTGTAAAAAGAATTTACTACAAGCACGAACAGCAATTAAAGATAAGAAATTATTCTGCAGTAAAGAATGTATTGCAATGTTCCTGCGGCCAACAACATAACCATTACTTTATCTTTTATTATTTTATTTTACTAACT